TGTGTCCCCCCTTCTCTCTGCCCCTTCCCAGCTTGCGCTCTCTGACAAATAAATAAACACTAAAAGTAGAAAAATAAAGGTTATTTATTTTGAGAGAGAGAGAAAGAGAGAGACGGAGAGAGAGAATCCCAAGCAGGCTTCACCCTGTCAGTGCAGAGCCCGATGCAGGGCTCACTCTCACAAATGGTGAGATCGTGACCTGGACCGAAATCGAGAGTTGGAAGCATAACCCACAGAGCCACCCAGGCGCCCCAACCCGCTGTGCTTTTTAGCTTTTCATTCTGTCCGGGTCTTTTCATTTTTTTGACATTTAGAAAGTAGGCGCTTACATCTGATTCGATACAACAGTACCTGATGGCCTGTGACGTAGGGCAGGCCCTGTGACAGATGCTGGATTGTTGGGTGAAAACACGACTAATAAATAGTCTCTGTCTGCAAGAGGCTTGTAGTTCAGAATGACATCAGAAATCGTACAAAAGTCTGGGACCTCCTGTCGTGTGACTAGTTGGACGTGCAGGTAGTTTGGGACAGGAGCCTTGTACGCACCCCTTACGTCGTATAGGTGATCCCCAAGTCTGCTGCTTGGCTCTTGTCTTCCCCTGACCCAGACCCTGTGGAGGCCGACCCATCTTCTTAACATCAGCGCCCCAGCTGCGTGGTTGGAAATTTCTCAAAATGAAATGGCTTCTCCTGACAAAGGAGGTAGGTACCTTGTCCCTCTTTTAATTTAGTAAAAAACAAGTGGCTTTACACACTCTCGGTGTTGTGACATCTCTTGTGACCACCGAAGAAAGCACCGGAGAGACGGGGTGGCTTCCTGCGCTGATGATTTGTGTGGAATCACCGAAGCAGAATAGTCACACGTCTCTCCTTGTAGTGGAGTTCACATTTTCTGCTCAACTCTCCAGAATAAAAGAAGTCCTTGGGCTGGTCTGGGATGACAGGAAGCCAGTGACCAAAGTACTCAATGTCGATATCTCCCGCCTCACCTAGTCTTTTCCTGCTCTGTGGTCCTGAGTAGTGCAGCTTGAGTGGGTTGGTAAGAGAACTTTCCAGTTCCTGTTCTGCCAGGTTACCAAGTACTGAATTATTTACTATGGTGAAGATAACACTAAGTGGGTTTCACTTCTCAGTAAAGGCCGAGTAAGCTCCGGTGAACTATGTACAAACCCTGGAACAAAAATGAAAACCGAACCCAGAAACCTTCCTGTGGGCACTGCTGAGCTACCAAAACATGGTAAACATTGGAAGGGACTGGGCATCTGAAAAAGGAGAACGGCTGAATGGTGGGAGTCCTACTTTTATGGCTTTGGCCTCGGGGCAGGACCCGGTCACGAGGGGCAGCTGAAATTCCAGTAGCAAAGTCACCATTTTTTGGTCTTGAAAAACCAGAGGGCTGGGGCGCCTGGGTGGCGCAGTCGGTTAAGCGTCCGACTTCAGCCAGGTCACGATCTCGCGGTCCGTGGGTTCGAGCCCCGCGTCAGGCTCTGGGCTGATGGCTCGGAGCCTGGAGCCTGTTTCCGATTCTGTGTCTCCCTCTCTCTCTGCCCCTCCCCCGTTCATGCTCTGTCTCTCTCTGTCCCAAAAAAATAAAAACGTTGAAAAAAAAAAATT